TTTTTTTTTTTTTTTTTGTAGTTATACAACACAACTCGCGTCGTGTAAAGTATAAATATTGTAAAACATCTAGACACGAGATCGTATCGCTAGAATAATAATGTGTACTATTATCTCGGCGTAATTTAATAATTAATTCATACACCGAACCGTACGAAAATTTATAAATTAAACGGTTTTTCCTGTTGTTTTTAATGCGCGCGTATAAACTGCGACGGTTCGGAAAAAAAACAAAAAAAGACACATTTTTCGTCTGTAGCCGATTCGATCACTTATTTCGGATAACCGATTTCCTCGTTGATATCTATTATAGACGATAAGATATAAAATGTGATACGGCAATTTAAATCATTTATCCGCGTATAGACAAATGGCAACGCCGAACGAGTTTTTTTTTTTCAAAATAATTTTACGAAATTTTCAAATTTTTACTGAGCCGGTGTATAACAAATAGATATTCGGTTTTCGTTCCGTCCGGAATACGATTGAAAAGTAAACACCTTTTTTTTTTTTTTTTAAATAATAATCGCGCAATATCTATCGAAAAAAAAAAACGATCGTATTATCATCGAAGAACGATACACAGAGTAGTAAGGAATATAATATAGAGAGGCCATACCGTATACCGTTACGTGTAACATTGAAGTGAAGCATTCCGACGAGTGACCAATCGAAACACGTGAAACCATTAAAGTATCGGATTGTTGTGTTTATTACTCGATCCGGTCACCGACGTCAGGGACCGTTATCATACTTTGAAATATCGAAAAACATCATCGATATTAATCGAAATCGGCACCGACCAAATGTGAAAAATAATTTCGTTTTTTTTTCTCAAAACGGTCACTCTCAGCGTTGCCCATCCGAAAACGCTTCGCTCGCGGGTACGTACGGCCGCCCCGTGGATACGATAACGGTACCGAATTAAATAGTATCTCGTCTTTCGGCGAATTTTCGTCGCGGATACTCGGAACCGAGTACCGCATAATGGGCAAACGATATCAGCATAATATTCGCGCTAAAACAAGACGGCGGCGGTAACAATTTTATTACGCCGTCGCGCACACCGAACGGTTTACACATACGGCGGGACGGGAAACACGGACACACGGCAATGGACATATTCATGATAAAATTGCATTATACACTACTATACAGGGTGTCCCGCGAAGTTCCCCGACGAACGCATTAACTTTCGTCACGTTCCGTTTTTGTGTGTACGGTTTTTTTTTTTTTTTTTTCCCCGCCTCTCGCGCTATTACTCCCGTACACATTACTAGTGCTTATTCGCTGTTTGTTATTTTCGGAAGCTCAAAAACTAAAAAATTTCCTAGGTTTGTTAAAAATTAATTGTTTTCGCGAAATCCGAGACGGGTAGCGATTTTATGGAGAGATTTCGAAACAGAACGTCAGCGTTACGACAATATTTACTGTATTCATCAACGACGGGTCGTACGGGTTTCTATGCAGTTAATATTTGAAGGCTACAAAAATAACTGACAAAATCGATAGGCATTATTTTTTGGCTTTAACGAAAACAATATAATCTATCGTGAACTTTAATAAAAATATTGAAAATTAACAATTCGTCGTTAATAGTTATCTGTAACACCAAAAATGTATTTCGAAATATTTTTATTAAAATGGTTTTCTCGAATTTTGGAAAAACAATTTAAAAAATTTAATAAAAATGCGTTATATAAAAATATATATTTATAAAATAGGGGAAACTTAACGCAAGACTCCAGTAACGAGAAAAATAAAAACTTAAGAACAGAACATAATTTATTTTAAGTATCGGATTTCTGTATTACAGTCTATATACCGGGTGAAAAAAAAAGATGGTGTTCCATGTGATATTCGTACTCGGTGTACCAGATGGTACTTTTTTACATTATCAAAAGTTGAATTTTTTTTAGTCATAAGTGAACAAGCTTACATGTTAAGCAAAAATGACTTCTACCGCAAAACACGGATGCAAACGTTTAATATGAAAAGATGTGTGATGGCAATTTAGTACTTTTATTTACCTTTTAATGATTGTTTATGTTTGATGGTGTTTGGTGGTAACAAATTTACAAAATGAAATCGTGCGACACATTATTTTTGGGTAGAATTTCGAGAACAATCGTTTGATAATATATACATAAATATAGTATTTACGTAGATGTATAAATGAGCGCAATTCGTACCAAGTAAAGTAATGTTTGTAATTTTCATGTAATTTAAAATATTAATTTCCCTTTACCTAAAATCTCAATCCAGTACTTTGGCAATGGTGGAACCAGCCCCACTCTCCGTTCGCTTCCAAATATACTCCTACTCCAACATACTTTGAGTTCCTTTTCCATCAAAAATTTGTATCATATACGATTTTCCAAAAAAGACCCCCCCCCTCCTCGTTTTAGATTCTAACCAGAGCGATAAAAAAATTAATTTTACAATGATGTTTATTTTTTTTCGCTGTGGACGACTTTTCTACTAGCAATTTTGCTCCGATGATCAAGCGTAGTACTTTTTCTGAAATCTAACCGGAGTGGTACTTTGAATGGAGTCATTTTTTGATTTTCCCAGGGGTTTTTATAATGAATACGAAAAACCAAGAAAAACGTAAAAAAGAGAAAATGTACAAAATATATTATTTTATAATCGTAATTATTATAGTCTTCAAAAACAAGTAAAACTGAACTCTACTCAGAATCGTTTTTCGTTTGCAAAGATCAATCGTTGCGTACGGATATACAGTAAATTCCCCTCTATACCCTACCTTTCTAACTCCACACCCAAAACATTTGCCCACAAATCGTGCGAAGTATCTTTTCTTATCGTTGATTCGCTCATGTGCTTTGATAGTGTTAAATTAGATATAGATTTGGCGATCAGCACGTTATTTCGTTTTTTACCTAGGAATTCACAACGTATGTCTAGGGTGCGTAATATCTAATAATATTATCATTTTGGAATACTTGATTCTAATATCAAAGTATGCGTTCCGATTTAATTACTACTTATTGCGGAATGTCCATTTTTCGATCAAATTTTATAATCATCCGGTTTGTATTAATCTACCTTAAACAAATATTTAGTGTAACAATAATAGGTAAATCTATCAAAACCTTTACGGAAATATCAGCCGCTAAAGTTAGTGTTTGGTACAGAAAGAGACAAGTATGTGCCAGTTCTTTTGTGCGTCCTATAAAATTGTTTTTATGGACATATTTCTTTACTGCAATTATTAGTGTATCGATTATTTTAAGTTTGAAAAATTGAAAGACAATATATGCACGTGTGTTTGGTTGTAAAACGAATACTTTTAGATATGTGAGCGATGCGTGGAATGCATTCGTTTTACTGCGATATGCGTTTCTCTTTCTTTTATTTTTTTTTTTTATTACATGTGAACAACTTCGCGACCAGACGATTTACTCCAGCCATTGACATCAAAGGTGGTTTTTGATTTTTCGGTAACGAATTCCACCAGGTAGATACGTTGAACCGGCCATTTTTTCTGATTTTACTTGTACTTTTCTCAATAATAAGACGTTAACCTGTAAGTCGGAAAAAAGAAAATGTTTACCGAACTAACTCTGTTAAAATCGATTTTGTTTTTCTCTGTAATCAAATTAGGAAACAAATACAGTCATACAATAAAGAAATTTCCATCGAATATTTACATTAGCGTTTAAAAAACGTGGGTTAATTTACGATAAATTCAGATTTTTTTTTTTGAGTTATCCATTGATTTTCTTAAATATTCGGGTTTGTATTTCATCAGTTTATGTGTGGACAAAATATTGTATTTGCTTCGTTTAAACGGTCAACAATTCGATTCATCATCGTATAAATACGTAATATACTCGTAGTGTTACTACATGTTAGATTCGGAGCATAGCGAGGGATTTTTTTTTTTTTTAATCAAAAAAATGTCTGAAAAATGAAAACCTTTTTTGTTACATTATGGACATAAATGCTGATGAATAAAGTAGTTTTTTTGATATTCCAATTACTTTTCAATGTTTCGTAGCAATTGGGAAAACCCTAAAAAAGACGACGAATTCACGGCGTTACAATTTCATTATTTTCAATTTTTACGCTTTATGTTTTCTACCAGATATATCGCTCCGATAAAACAACAGCATGCGTTTTTTTTTTGTTGAATTCCTCATCTAGATGGTGTGTAAGAAAGTCATTTTTGTAGTTTTCCTACAATTTGTTTTAATAACTAAGCGAAATCGAAAAAAAAAAAGTAGAAAGAACGGGAAAAATTTACCAAAATAATACTTTTATTTTTTCCAATTTTATGTTTCTATTGTAATTCAATTAAGAAATATTTGTAGTGACTTTAAATTTTGACAAAAAACTTATATTTGCCTTTTCTGAGCTATTTTTTTAGAGGATGTTTAAATGTTGCGACTTTTTTTACTTCATTTCTATTTTGTTACATAGGTATTCCGTGAATAAAATTGTTTGACCGTAAAGAATCGCTTAAAAATCTCGTTGAAAATTTAACAGGAGGCTCTTTATAAGTCACACTTGATATTCAAAACTAACAATTTATGTGCAATGTAATATTTCTTTTTCATAGGAATTTTAACATCAAATTTTGACTACAATTGTTAATATGTTACGGCCTTTCTAGACATGAACAAAACGATCTTCGCTCCGAATTTGTTTTCGTTAGAAATGGTTTATCGATACACACAGGTATAAATATAGGTCTAAATTAAATTACTTCATGTATTCTATACATTTTCGACTTCCCACCTACAACAGAGGAACACTGTTTTTTTTTTTTTTTGTACGCGTTTAAAATTTAATTTTTGACGAAACAAGAACAATTGCAATTTATGTATATATTGTTTTTTCGTTACGAATTACTTAACAATATTGTTTTCAGTATTAGAATTTTTCACAAAACTGTCTTACCGAACTCCGCCTTCGAAATCGTTTTTCGTTTGCGAGTATTTGTCGTCGCGCGCGCCTCCTTAGGATAAACTAAATTACGTTGTATTACGTCGTATCCTTCGTATATTTTCCTACAATTTTAAACGTAAATATTAACACGCGCGAACATCTCTTGCAAAGGTATCGCGTAGATATTTATAGAATTTTAAAAACATAAAAACTTAATAACGTGTAAAACGTATTATTGTAAACGGTTGTTGATAAAATGCACAACGTAATCGCGGTCAATGTTCGCATACGCCGTCCGATCGTCCGATCGTCTGAGATGTAAGCGTGAGACGTGGGGGACGGTTAATCACACGGTTAATGGTCAAATTTTAATCGTGGCTATATAAACGGGCGTGTTGGCGAGATAAAAGTGCCCGTAGAAATTGACGGCACGTAAATCATGGCATAATGAGGGTATTTCACGGAAAAACAAACTATGACCGTAGTACACAGTAATGTTACTGTAACATAAACGAAACATAGTATTTCAATGTTTTAACGTGAAGCGGCATTCGAATAAAAACGAGCGAAACGAACTCAAAATTTTCAGAAAAATCAGCTCGATTCGAAATAAGTTCGTATCCGTATTGAAAAACTCAAACGAAACTCCTTTATACGGTTGTAAACCAATAAAATCGCTACTGTCCGTTATTAACACGTAATATTATAATATTATATTGCGACTGAATTTGAGTGCGGCGCCGGAACGATAAACTTTTAATATCGTTATATGGATATTTTTCTAAAAAAAAACGCAAACCTATAGACATTGTATCCGTGTGCACTACACGGCCCGTGTGTTTACCGTTTCGTTAAAAAAGTTTTCGCTTCGAATTAACTTACGAAATCGGTACGAATTATTTTCTACAAAACTTCGTGTACGATACCGCCCGCCATACGATCTACCGAATAAAAAGGTTCTGGAGTAGACTTTCCCCTTCCCACCACCCCAAAATACACGGCGCGGTAGTTCGATAATAATTAATTACCCGCCTGTTTAAAACGAAATAAATCCTAAAACAATATTTGTATTGCCGCTGCCCGGCGTTTCCATATACGTCGAAAAAAGGGGCGAAAGAACGAAATAAGCGAACGTTTTACATTAAAACGAATGTGTTTTTTTGTCAACGCCGTAACAACGTCGTTATCATCATTATCGATCATCATTGACGTCGATTAGACCGGACAATCGGTTAATTGTACAATGTAACTAAACAATACCATAAGATCAAAGTCGGATGGCGACCGGTTCAAGAATTAAAAGTCGTCGCATAGCTTATGAAACGCCGTATTTTCGTAGTGAATTTTTCGCTTGGTCGATTTACGAAACAAAACATTAGTAAAACCGAATGTTAGAAAACAACTTGGATAATTCTTTAAAAACTACAATTTTCATTCAACTCGGCTATTTTGTTGCCGAAATTCGAGCGATTTCTAAAAAAGTTGTTTGCGCGTGTTTTTTTTTCATTTTTTATTTCATGTAAACAGTGTAAATAATATTTTGCTACGCGTTTGACCNAGGCGAAATAATTTGTGTAAACTTACGAATATTTTTTTTTCAAAAATACGATCGTCCTTTTTTTTACGATTCCCGAAAAAAAAAAAAAATCAAATTTCTATTTCAAACGTATTATTCCAGTGAAGAATCGCGATCCATTTTCGAAATCGAAATCCTCGTCAAACGTAATCCCTATCACCTTCGCCCGGCTGTTATGTCTAAATCGACTAAAATACACCAACTTTACTGATCTCCTTGTTATACTTTTCGAAATCGTTTTTGAGCCGCGGACCGAGTTCGTCTTACAATATTACTGAATAATGTTTGGTTTTTTTTTTCATTTTTTATTTCATGTAAACAATGTAAATAATATTTTGCTACGCGTTTGACCGACATCCATACACAAGTGCGTTCGACTATAAAGTGACCGCGTTCGAGATTATCAACCGTAATTATGTACGGGTAGCGTACGGTTTTCAGAAAAAAATGATAAGAAATCGTATTTTCATATGGGTCTGTATGAACAACAACGTTAAGAAAAAAAAATCGAAATAAAAATGTAGTCACACTAACAATGCAAACAAGTATAAATGTTTCGAATTATGTATTCATGATAACCGGTCTTGTGAAAAACCATGTCGGCTAGGTAATTGGAAAAAAGTGAAAAGCATTATAGATTGAAGTACCTTTAATTGGTATAACACTATTACTTAGCCGTATTGGTATAAGGTACTTATCGGTCATTATAATATAGCAAAATATGTTACTATAATATTTAAGAAGTGATCGGTTGGCAGTTACGAATAAACCGTACAATTGAAAAAAAAAAAAAATTTGTATAGATTGGCAACATTGAAATAATGACAACGACCTCTTATCAGTTTTCTGGAAACTGTTACTCTTCGATAGTATACTAAATCGCAACATTTTTGTTTTTTTTTTATAAAGATTCATTTGATATTAAAATTTCAATACGAAACAGCATTGTAACAATTGACGTTTAGAAACGGCTCAATATCGAAAATTTAATATTTTCGATTTATGCGAATCGTTTACAGCGCCATCGTCGTTGAAAAACGTTACGCGGGAGCGTTAATATACAAAAAAAATTTTACTTGTACAATGACATGAATTTACTTTATTGAATCGCGTTTATTTAATAAAGTCATACGAGTTTGGGTTATTTCGTACGGGTACGTTTTGTTATAAAGGCCCTCGCGACGATATCGAAATACGTGACCGCCGAGTTTTCGTACAAAAAATAATAATGTTTTTTTTTTTTATCTATATATAAACCGCCGCCGTACTATAAACGAAACCCACAAGTAAACCAATAAGTACGGGCGAATTACCGTAGCGCCGAAAACAAAATATATTTTCGCATGAGGTTTTTACTACAAAAACGCGATATAGTCGATAAAACAATACCAGCGATGTTTGAAAATAAAGACATTTTCAGAAGGCATCTCAATCAGCTTTATTTCGGTATACAGTTCGACACATCCCGATACGTCTTCCTCAGACGCGTTTTTAATATTATCTTTTGTTACCATCTAGACAAATAGGATTTTAATTTATCTTAAATCAATATGCCACTTGTTTGGCGTAAACGTGTTTCCGGATAAATTATTCTTTAAAGACGTATTTTTTTTCAAGATTCGGACTCATAAGCACAACTAGGGGAAAGGGTTGCAAGGAGGTCTTTAGCATCCCCGAGTTAAAAATTAGCACCTTCAATCAGTTTTCTCAAAGTAACGGACAAATATTTTATCCGCGTATTTCGTAATTAATGAGCATCAAAACAAAGTGCAGATATCCTACGCAGACAATGCGTGTGTATACAAAATAGTGTTGAAATAAATACGATAAATTTGTGTGTACAAAATTGTAAACGAAATAAGTGGTTGCCTATTGTAAGAGTCGTATCAAGGGGATGTGTGGTGGGGCATATCCCCCATGGGTCTTTGATAATTTGTGTCCGTAATTTTAGCGCTCTCAAAGTCGGCGGTCCAGTGGCGCCTTGACAGGATTTAATCCTATACAGGGATTCCAAGGCCGGATTTATGGATATTTTTTCCGTGTGCAGGTCTCCTGAAACTCCTAGACTAGAATTTAAGAAAAATACAACACCTATACATGTTTTATATAAACGAGTAGATTTGACATCAGAGCTTGGTATTTTATACGAAATAACAATGGCAATAGGCAATAGGCAATCAACATAATTTAAATTTAAAATATGATTTTGAAAAGTATAATTCATCGTTTTCAAAAAAATATATCTCCTTTTCGTCTGGATAAATTGTGATTATTTTTTTTTCATCTATTATAAATATGTAATTCGAGTTGGATTTATCATTAATCGTTACCGTGATAAATTTTTAGTACCTGTTGTACCATTATCTAGACAAATTGTTATTGTCCGCGTGTCGAAACCACTGGAGAGTGTAGTCGATCTAGGGGGCGTCGATACACTAAAAAAAGACGACACGCCGTTCCGCGTGGGATACAAAACAGTATCATAATCGACACAAAAACACGCGGATTTCTTTTTTTTTTTTCTTTAATTTCTCGTGTTCCCATAAGTATGTCTGACACGTTTCATTTTTTCAACTCCCCCACCCCCATGATAATTTAATCCTAGGCTCGTCCTTCCGGTAATAAGTCCTTAACTTTACGACGACGGTAGAAAAAATAAACGAAATGCGTAACACGCACAAACTCTCTCTCGCTAAGGGTCTCGGCAAAGACGAGCACCACTACACAAGATACCGTATACGGATATTACGAGATACCGAGTTATTAAAATTTTTCTCTCGCCGAAATCAAGTCGTAATCTCTTCATCCGACCGAACCTTGTGGGTTCGCACGGGATATTCGTTACACGCCAGATGAGTACTACACCCACACTCGGAATTCGATCGTGCGAAAACTGTACACGCGTCGGCCCGATTCCCGGTTTTTCCGAAAATGCGACTTTGTGATTACGGTATTCCTGTGGTCGAGAAACGAACGATAACGGATATCGTTTAATTGCGTGCCGACTCGAAAACAGAAAAATAAAAACCGTCTCCCCAAAAGTCCCCGTTGAAAATAAGATGGAACCGCGGCGTCGGTGATAACGTTTTAACCCGGCCGGACGTCCAAGAAACGTTTGTTCGCTTTTCCCGTGCGGGTAGTGCCGATTTGGAGCCGGGACGACCGAATCACCGGGAACGGGGCCGACAAACGATGTATCAATAAAATAACATTCGACGATTATTGCTGTGCGCGTGCAGCGATTCTTACCGTGCCGTATCCGTGCGCCCGAGCGTGGTCGTCGTGTCCGGCGCGAGAGTACGTTTGTTCGCCGAAATATATTAGTTCGCGCCGACTCACCCGGAAACACGTGCCCACTCGCACTGCACAAAAAAAAAAAAAAAAATTCCCGAAAAACCCGATAGTGCGTAACGGAAACCTAACCGGACGTGCCGGACACTCGGTCGGTTCGCGACGGCTGTCACTGGTCACCGGAGGAGAACATCGCGGCGGCGTCGTCCCGGCTTGTCGCGTGCGCGTAGAGAAAACGATCGCGTCGACGACGACGTCTGCAACGTCTTGTACGCGGCCCGTGACGTCGGCGGCGTCCGTCGGCGGTGGCTTTTTAGCGACTGAAACCGCAACGCGCTCCGTTCCGGGGCGTACCCCTCCGCCCGTCGGTCCCTAACGGCCCGTACGAGCCGCCGCCGCCACCGCCGCCGGTGGCGCGGTCCGACGACGGCGTCCCGGCAGCACCCCGTGAAGATACCGAGCCGAAAAAAGAATACCGAGTTAGGGTAACCGTACCTATCTATCTATACCTACGTATAATAGGCGACCGCATCGCCGCATCGGCCGATCGACGACGGTAATAACCTTACCTCTCCTGCAGTATTTTGAAAAACGCGCGTCGGAAAATAATCGATTTAAGAAAAATAATATTATCACTAGGGAGCGGATTACGATGCGAATCGCGTTTGTTTCTGAGCGCCTTTAAGCCGAGCTTCCGCGCAACATCCGTTTCGCGTATCGTAGAATTAAAACACGAAACTTTTATCGTGTATTTTTTGAATTTTTATTTTTTTTATTTTTGGAGCATTTTTTTGATATTTTAAGCGCATTTTTTAATGTTTAGGGCATTTTTTTTCTGCTTTTTTACAAACCTCACAGTGTTAACTGAAAATTTGATACAGTTAATTTTCAATTCCCTCTAAATGAAAAAATAAAATCATACTTCTATCTAATAAAAATGTATTGGGTAAAAAAAAAAAAAATAAGCTATTGCAATGCAGTCGTGTGTGTGTTTAGTAAACGTATATACCTATTAAAACCGTTTTTATTTCAGCGTTTAAAATAACTTTTAGACCATTTTTTTTAAGGTATTTTTAACCTTTTTTTTAAATTTAGGTTTATTAAATTGTATTTTTTTGTCAGGCATTTTTCTTGTTTTTTAAAGCATTTAAACCCGCAACCAAATATTATTACCTATAGGAAGGACGTGTAACGACCGGCGAATACCCGGTATATTATCTTCGGATTGTGGGCAAACGCTCGTGGTTTTCGCGTCGGTTTTTTTTGTTTCTCCCGATGTACGCATTTTTAAGCGACACTCGAACGTATGAAATATTAAGATTATATGAAAAACATATAGTCTTTTTATATTTATTACAAAAAAAAAATATATATATATATAAATAACTAGCGCGAAAAATCCGACGTACAAACGCGGACAACGGTCTTCGAGTTTGATTACGTGCCGTTTCACTGTCGTATACCAAAACGGACGGTGCACAACCGGTTGTATCGAATTTTCGAATTTCATTTTTCACTATCCGACTATCGACTTGAGCCGCGGTATACGAGTATAATCGAGTATAATTTGTGTACTTGTATATTCTCGGGTGAAAGAAATGAACGGGTTTTTTTTCGTTTAAACCACGTTTCAAACGATATAAACTCTTCGGGTTACGAATGAAATTAAAAACATGACGCCCTCACGCTTCGCCCCACATTGCTCGTATCTATTATACTATTATAGCATTTGTGCTGTGCGCACAAAATCGTACAACTTTTTCATAATTCTAACGGAAAATATTAGTAAATATTATTAAATATTAAATTTAACTTTGAATTATGTAATCATATTTAATATAATTACCTAAATGTTATAGGAAAGTTCTATAAAAAAATGTATGGACCAATACATTATGCATAGTGGGTCTTCTATCGTTGAACACTCACTATTTCGCAAAATATTTTACTTTTTTCTCAAAAAATAAATATATTTCTTTTTCAATTCAAGGACAAACCTTTCTGATAATATGTTATGTTACCGGTTTTTTTTTCGGTTGGGGGGAAAACTACCAACTTTCGATGTTCAAATGGTAACCTACACTAATAGTTTCATAAATATTTAATGTATTAGTTTAAATAATTATTGGTGCTGAAATTCGTAGTAATTAGGGGAGTATCTCTTGTGTCAATGGGTGTTGTAAAAAATCATGCCGTATTACCGTTGTATAACCAATTAGTGGTTATCGTATCAGTAGACGGGTTCTGGAAGTATTATCTATTAGTAATCAGTTAATCAGATTAATATATTTAGATTAATTATGAACGTTTAATATCTGTTTCCGATTTTCCGTTCTATATACGCTTATGTTTAATGGTTTTAAGTACATGTTAAAGTGTTAAAAGTTTACTTTTTTTTAAGATATTACTTCCGAGCCCTATTTATGAGTAAAATACGGGACGATTGATAGCCACCATTATTACGCTATTGTGAGTTGTTCTATGTAATGATATAAATTGTTCTATGTAAGCGATAGACAGAATTTAATCTTACACACCTGATGTGATTTTCATGAATCTCGTATAAAATCGTTTTCTATGATCTCCAATAAAGTCCAACTAGTTGTTTCAGCACTTACGACATAACTTCAGGTTTCAATAAAACCAACATTCGTTTTGAATCATCTTCTTATTCTTCTCCTCTGCCTTCGTGCCAACTATTTGTAATTTCGGAGTTAGTCACTGGTTTCTGAAAGTTTCTGATGGTCCTCAAATTTAGTAGATAAGTAATTTTTTTTTGTTTTCCATTATATTTTTTTTTGCCACGGGTACAGGTTCATTGGACCGTTCTCTGAACCGACGCGACTCGAGTTGACTGTTGGGAGAAAAACGAAACCGTGTATGTGATATGTACGTGGTGTGCCAGTTGTGGCTATATTTATCCGACCTGCCCGTTTCTGACTACCGACTATATACAGTTGGACATGTCGGAAGAGAAACAAATCGATTTGATTTTCTTCAGATAAAATTAGATTATTTGGGTTCAATAATAATCAATAAATAATCGAAATTATAATCATTCTTCAATGTCGTGTGTGACAACTGACAGTGTTTTTGATGAGACAGTTGAATATAGTTCAGTTTAAATTTATATAGGCTAAAAAAGTTGGTAAAATTAAATTAAAAATTGGAATTCGATAAAGAACATTTAATTAATGTTGTTTGATCGAAATCAGCGTAATGGGATAAAAGGTCGGCCCACTATCGGAACCGAAACTTAAAACATAAAGAATTTCAAGATGTCAATTATGATGTCTTATTTTCTAAGTTTAATAAATTTTCCCATTATTATTAATATTATATCCATAATAATTTCCGTTTATACAAGCCTTCGATAAATCATAAATTTAACAAAACCTAGACATTTTATAGGTGGTAAGTTCGGAGAATAAGGATAGTTTATAAAGTAACGATAAGTTAACCAAAAAAAGATTCTGGGCAGAATAATACTAACTGTATCGAAGGTAACCAAGTAACAAATAAAAGTAAAAAACGGTGTATCCTTTGTTGTCAGTTTTTTTTTTCTGGAGAAAGTTTCAGAAATGTTTCATAAATACAAAATATCTGACCGAAAATCCGCATCTTTTAACACGTACAATTTTTACTAATAACGAGAAGTGTTTGTACGGAGAAAAAAACACATATTCACATTTATATGAAACCACTATAGCATCTTCGGTAAACTCAAACAAATTTAAAATTTTTATAAAACATTATGAAAATTATATTATTTTTATAATATTTTTATTATAATATCCAGAAGACTTTGTATATCAATAATAACTTACTACAGCAATATTATCAACAGTAACAGTAGATAAGTTGTAATATTATTAATATGCATGATCAAAAATGATTGTAACGATTTTAGCATAATAGTACAGTGGTTATAGTTTGAAAGTGATAGAAAAAAAAACCTGCCTGTTACAAGTAAGATAATAATGTTATTTAGTAAATATGTGTTGAAAAAGAGCATACGTTCAATGCAATTTAGATTCTGAGCGAAGCGAGCAATGTACATAGTTTTACTATGATGCGTCTTTTTGTTTGTTTCTGTAAACAACATTTTACAAAAAATCGTATTCCAATCATAAACGTCAAAGGAACTTTAGTGTGCCTTTTTTTATGTTTATCTAGTTGATGTATTGTGACGAAAGAATAATTTGATTTTCTTTGAAGTTTTCTATATGGGTAAAAACTGACAATTTTTCGGATACATTTTTGTTGAATTCTGGATAACTTAAAACAATCTATGAATTTAACATGAAATAGTATATAATATTATGTTGACGAGTTTAAAATGCTATAAACTGTATATTAATTAGGTAATATTATTGTTGTTTAAAAAAAATATTATATCCAAAATTGTTGTAAGTATAGTCAAGTATAGATACCGCCAACACGCACATTGACTGAGACGAAATTAATACGCGTTGGCAATAAATTAACTAAATACTTACAGGGCGTAGCACGTTCACAGGTTCTTGCATGTCAAATTGCGTTTTCACACGAACGAGTTGAGCGGCCGAATATATGATAATGGCGAGGGGAAAATATTATATTATTCAAAATTAAAAAGGTACCTGCGTATAAACAGGCACGATTCGTTTTTATGGCGAAGAAAATATTCGTAGGATATTTAATTTCCAAACGAAACAGTCTAGTATAAAATGTACGTGTCGTTTTGTATCACTTTAAGGAACATGTATAGATTATTTATAGAGGGGTGTGGAGAGTTTCGCAGTATCAACTATGTGCAATGCTTTATAAAAATACATTCGTCGCATTGTTATGCGACCCGAGCTATATTTTAAACCTAATTTTTAACGTAACCTTTTTGAAAAAAATAAATCAAAATCTAACGGCGAGAGCTATGCCATAGTCACAATTATTTGTTATTATATTTTGTTGAAATTTGCTGTGATATATAAAAATACTTATGCATTTTTGACATAATAAATATTTATACTGGCTACCCTTCTTTAGATCCGGTCAAATTCTCCTAACGTTTTCAAAATTTTGAGCTATTTATAGACAATGCAAGTTTTCTAGTTTTTTTGGTTTTACGTGGATTACTATTGTTTAGCCCTGCTGAAAATGTTTAACTGGACTTCGCTCAGAATTTTTTTTTTAGTTAATAATGATTTATTGATGCGTAAAGATAAAAATTAAATTACTCCATAAATCCTACCTAACCTAAAAGTAGCGCAGTTTTGGATATTAATTTTTAAATTTCGATTTTGGTTTGTGTATCGTTTTTATCGTTGGTGAAATTATTTGTGTTATTATGTTCACGTCAATGTATGCACGTGAAATAATT